TTTTAAATCACAGTGATAAAATCACCGGTAGCATCACTAGCAACAGAAGTCTCGGAATTTGAGTTAGTTTTTTTACGCGCGCTGTTCAATTTCGGTAAGTCCCATACAAGTTGCATGTACATGATAAATATTTGACAGTAAATTGATACGAAATAGCTGGCCACATTAAGCATAGCGTTGAATCAACCGTTGCCGCGGGTCGGGCAGCGGGCAAAAGCTATACTGCATATACATACATAATAGCTGCTGTATCCGTGAACAAGTTTATCTTAAACCAATTATTATTACCAGCACGTTCATCAAAGGATTCTCGGAATAACTGTTTTAGGAACAAAAGCTATATAAATCACCAATAAAACCGTCAACCTATGAAATATGCGTTAATTTTTAAATAGCCAAATACAAATGATTTACTGTTTAAACAAAGGCGCCCAACTTCCCGTTGCCAGCTTGATTGCTTCGGTGATTTTTCATTATTTTTATTTAGCGGCGGTTCACATGCATAAATACATATGTATCAATGCGTCACCCACAAATGGCCTGCATTTAGCTGGAATTTCGGAAATGGCAGATTTAGCGACGATAAGTTCATCATTTCATAAGTTGTATCAAGGTGTACGTGTTGACTGCAAGTTCATATATACATACATATGTACATATATAATACGAAATTTTTCAGTTTGGAATTATTTTTACCTTCGACTATTTGGACATGCATAATTTGTTTGTTCATTTGCTGATAAAAATTATATCTTTGTTGTGTTATTTCGAGCTGATAACTCTCTAGTTAATTGACGACAAATAACGTCAACACTTTAATGGCGAAGTATGTACATATGTACATACATACATATGTATGTAGGTTACGTGCTTTTTTTTTATTTATTTAATGCCCTTGACAATGAAAATAAGTTCCATTTAAGTGATAACCAAGATAATGAAGAAATTGTATATCAATTTGTTGTATATTTGGATTGGTATTCAGCGCACCGTTTTTTTTTCAAGTAAGAAGTCCAAGTTTTTAAAGTTTGACACGGATTTGGACCACGGTTGCCAACTTTTGCATTCTTGAAACCAGGACATCAATTCCAATGCTGTATTTTTGAAATGTTTATATTTAAAATAAGAAAACAATATGAAATTTCATAGATAAAAGCTTCCATAATACAAAATTTCGATGTTAATACTTTTTGATAATTTAAAACATTAATTAAATTTGAAATAAATATGACACCAAATTTTAAATTATAAATTTCTATATACATACATATCGTCGTCTGGGTAAAAGATTGTCGTAAGCGTCATACGTACGTGCGTAATATACGACAATCTTTTACCCAGGCGACGATATGTATTTGGAAATGCACGGAAATGAAAATTTTCAGGAATTTTTATACATTGAACATATGAATATTTATATAAACTTCGTGAAAAACATAGGAAAATTCAATACATTTTCCTACAAGTTGACATTACTGTATAACTAAGTCCCAATTTGAAGTTGGTAAAAAATTGCGTTGGTTTTTGGCAGTTTCTTCCAAACAAAAAATTGTCGAACATACTGTGTGAACTCGTCTTGTTTAAGCAGCCACGGCTTCAATTCTTTGTTTAAAATCCATTCGTCACTAAAAGTTTTTACTTTATTGTCGATTAAATAGCGTATGTAAAATATACATATGTATATGAATGTATGTACATTAGGCTGGGTAAATTTTGATTTTAATAAATCGCATGGTATTTCCTGATTCTGCTGATAATTCTAAGAGTGAGTATAGAAGAAACCATGGCTCGGAATTGAGTTTCGAGGCAGTGCAGTTTTAAATCACAATTTCACGACATTAGTTATTTAAATTTTTTCTTAAAATTTTTGCATATAAAATATCTGTATTTAAGTTTCTAACATTTTCTTTATTTGTATAAATTATTTGAAAAAGCAAATCGTTACCTAAAGGTGAAAATGTGCCAAGTACATTTTTTGGAGTTGTACAGGAGAGACGAAAAATCGATGTAATTTCACATTATCTGTCATTCTGCATCAAAAACTAAATTTTGAATAAATTGGACTTGGCACGTTTCCACCTTTAGGTAGCGAAATACATCTGTTTTGTGAATTTTTAACTTAAAACATTAACAAACAGTAAAAAGAAACAAAAACTCGATATGGTTTTTGCTGACAGTGCCTCTTCCATACAAAAATGACTTCTTTTCAACACAAAAACTATAAAAATCGACGTTAAATCTTCGCTTATTATTGAACTTTAAAAAATTTAATATGCGACGAAATTTTATACTCAAAATCTTCTAAAAAGTAACTACAATTAAATGATAAAAAAAAATTTTGTTAAAACTTGCCAATATGTGGTGCGCTTATAATTTTGACACGGATTTTGGACGGTAAATATGGTAAATCAATTAAAAATGTTATAACCTAATATATAGGCATTTTGTATCTATTACACTTTGTAAAACCGGCATTAGACGAAAAAATAAAATTTTGAGAACAAGTAGATTTTTCTTTTAAAAATGCGCAGGAGAAACCGAAAATACAATTTGACCACCCTATTGTACATATTTTAAAAGTTCTGATTTTTTTACAACGAGATGTCTAAAATTTGTTCTTCCCAAGAACCGGGACATTTTGCGTCCCGGCATGTGTTGTACCGAGACCGGGACATAGCTCTAAAATGCGGGACAGTCCCGCCGAAAACGGGACAGTTGGCAACCGTGATTTGGACCCATAAAATGGTTATGAAACGGACTGTAACTCTGCGTGCAATGTCTACGAATTTGATATTTTGATAGAGTGGTGGGTAATTCACAGTGGTCCACCAAATCCTTAACTAATGTAGGCCTTAATAATGAATTCCGCCAAATAGGTAGCTTACACAACGAAACAAGTTTGATGTTGGTTTCCAAAGATAAATAAATTACACTAAGCAATGACATTTATGCAATAGTACATAGCTACTGCGCTGAGAATATTTGGATAGAATCGCGGCCTAGTATTTGACCTGTCAAAAGTCAATAATCGACGCTTATTGTTTGCTTTACTCCTGTTTTGGAGTCCAAAAAAAATCTATAAAATAAACCATTAAGTTGAAAGAATATTCATTTTCCGTATTATTGTTCCAGTTTCGCTCTTCAGTGTACATATGCACGCATGTGTAGATATGTGAATTCCATAGTTGGCCAAAAAAAAAATAACAACACTCTGATGTCACACGCGAAGTGTTGCCGACAATTGCAATAAAATTAATAGCGAAGTCGTACACTTGAAATATGTATTACAAAAAAATTAATTACTTCATATAGCGTACGTGGCATACATATTTAAATACATACTCGTACATAACTAATGGCAGCCGCCCATAATAATAGCCCATCGATGGCAGTGTTTCCTAAAAGGCAGACTAATTGACGCATTGACATAATTCGTGCAAAACTTCAATTTCAAACATAAGCAATAAAGTAAACCGAACGGAACAATGTAATGATAGAAAATATTGATTTTCACTAGCAGTAGATACGTATACGAGTACTTATTTAAAAATAAATCAAACAAAACAAGAAAATGAAGAATTTTTGTTACAAAGTTAAAAATAAGTATGATGGAATGCCGTTTTAAATAATATGTATGTATACCATATGTACATATACACATGCGTCACATTTTAATTAATATACATAATTCAATAAATTCATATCGAAAGCCGTGTCATACAATCAGTTGACGTGCTTCTTATACTTAATGCGCTTGGTTGGACGTAGATGGGTCTGTCGGTGGCGTTGTTTTTATGGACATGTCCATTGCCGTTGTAAGGCAATAAAATTTCATTAAAAAAATAAAATAAAAATAAATAAAAAAATATAAATAAAAGCAAAGAATTATCATATTTACATGCTATAATACTTATCTTTCATACCCTCTTTCTACAATTTTCAGTAAAACTTGTTTCTGATATTTGAACCCATTTTCGATTTATCTGTCATTGATTACTAAATGTCATGCTCATACAACACTTCTGGTAAAATTTACTATTGAATTTGAAAATTAGAATTAACACAGACGGCGCATTTAGATCACAGATTCAAATATCACAAACAATTTTTTGTGAGAACTGCCCGCGTTAAGTTTAAAAAAAGTAATTAAATTATATCACCGAAAGTAAAAATTATTATTGAATTTTGACTAAATTGGTCATTTCAGTATAAAAAAAACGACTTGAGTAAAAATTCCTGAAGTGGCCCCCCAAAATTTGCACAAAGTAACGAATATTGCAATAAGTATTTGCATTCCTTAGCTTGAGTATCCACAAATACATCAGTAAAATATTTCGCCAGTTTTCGAGTTTTTCTTTATATAGATATATTTTTCTAAATTTATTATTTATGGACCTTATTTTTGTAACAGTTATTGCGACCACAGTTTTCATGCGATTTTCATGAAACTTTGTGAGTACGTAAAAAAAATTTTTTCTAAAAGACGATAGAAAACTTTTTTAGCAATTTTAAATTTTTCAAACTCCTTTAAAATGTTTTATTTTTTTTAATTTTTTTTAATTTCTCGTTGTGATTTTTATCGCGTTTATGTGTCAAAATGTTCCTTACAATATTTTTTGCTAATATGCTCAAAAAAAAGTTTAAAACAAGTAGCAATACCTGTAAAAATATTTGCGAAACAAATCGTTTTGGTACCCCTTTTGTTTGAAATCTACACTGTTGTAAAATTTTATTTTACTCGTGAAATAATTTTTTTTTTTTAACTTTTGAAAACGGGGGCTACACTGTTAAAAGCATCCTATATATTAATCCAGGTTACAAACTGTCTGTGTGCCAGCCGTTTTGGCGTGAAAGAGCAACAAACATACTCACTCAGTAGCAAACTTTCACATTTATACTCGAATGTATTATAATTTTGTATGAGTACTTTTTTCTTATTGCTTACTACTACTTTTTTAATCATTCGTAAATAACATGGTACTTATATATTTTTCTTCCAGTCGGAATCAGTTTGTCACAAATGCAATGAAATCATCACGAAGCGCATCATTACAGCGCTTGGTAAGACATGGCATCCGGAACATTTTGCATGCAAAGATTGCAATACACCCATCGAGGAGGCCACATTCAATATACAAGATGGCGAACCAGTTTGTTCCAAATGTTTTCTGAAAAACTACTCGGGCACATGTCATGGCTGCAAGCAACCCATATTGGAGGTGAGTACCAAAGAAAAGAGGGATTTTAAATATCGTTACTTTAATAACTATACAAATGCGCTAACTCAATTTCTTTTAAACTTCGGGTTTGTATAAAACTCGTAAGTTTAAAAAACTAAATGCCCAATACAATTTAAAAACAACTACTACATCAGCAAATAAGTTGCAGTGTTTAATAAACAAAGTACTTTCAAAAAATTCGCAACTGAAACACTTTAGTTTTTATAAAGGTTTTTCACCACTCTGTTGAAAGAAAAACAAAAAAGCTAGATAGCGCAGTTCTATATTAAAGTAATGAAATTGTAACTGATCAGATAAAATAGAAGCCACTGTCACTGTCAAAAATTTGAATCCTCTATATATCAAATTTGTGTCCATAAAAAATATACCCACAAAAAATGTTGATTTCGTTGTTTTTCGATCAACTTCAGAGAACTTTTCACTCCATCATGTCAGAGATTTTCAGATGAACTCATAGCCCAAAGCACATGCCAAAAGTCAATTTTTTCCAAGAAAGCCAAGACCGTCATCATTTATGCAAAACAATGGATTTAGCAACTAATTTTTCATATTTGCTTTGATTCCGAGTAGAAAAGAAGTGGTGTTATTGGGAGAAACGTTGTTTAGGCACAACCAAGCAAAAACTAAAATTTTCTCAACATTTAAAATTGTCTCGTTAGATAAAACAACTAACGTTTTTTTTAAATTTCATCATAGAATTATTAAGCTTAATAAGGTGAATGAATATGTTTAGTCTAAAGGCCTGTCTGCAATTCTTAAGAAAAATCCCAAGAAATATATTTTATTATTTCTATTTCTTGAAAAAGTACTTTGCTGTTTGCTGTAAATTTTCTTGAATAAATAAATATACCAGCATTTTTCCTTGAGACGTGCATACTGATTTAAAAAATTTTGATAGAAGGAAATTCTTTTCCATTTCTTGTGGATCATTTTATATGAATGTTTCTCGAGAGCTGCAGACTGCCCAAAACAGATAACTGAACTTCAGAAAAATTGCGAAGATATCGGCAAAAAAATTTCCATGAACGCCCTATTTCAGAATTCGGTTCAAAAATACCCTATCTCAACTGAAAATATGTTGAGATAGGACGTTTCTGAATCGGAAGCTGAAACAGGGCGTTCGTTAACCAAATTATGAAATAGGGCATCCTTGAGAAGTTTTCTGAGAAAGGGCGTTTTTTAACTGGCTGCCGAGTTAGGTCGATATTCCATTCAGCCGTCGGTATGTGCGTTTCCCTCTGACTTTTTGTATACCAATTGATCTAACTTTGCTTGCGTTTTTCCACATAATTGTAATTGAAATCATTTTCTATATTATTAAACGTACGATATAATGAATTTCTTAAAGTTTAGAAAATATTTTTAATGTTCTTGCGCCAAGGAATCCATTTCGACGATCACACAAGAACCCAAAAACACACTTATTATTTTATTAGAAGGTCCTTACAAGCCAAAAAGAAAAAAATTAAAACCTAATATTTTTGAAGGTAATTTTTAATGTCCAGCTAATTGGCGGCCGCTGTGGTGTAGAGGTAAGCAGTGCGCACTTTCACTCCGTAGGGCCTGGGTTCAAGCCCTGGTCAAAGCAACATAGCAAAACAATTTAGAAAAAAAGGGTTTTTCTTAACAGCGGTCGCCCTCGGCAGGCAATGGCAAACCTCCGAGTGTATTTTTGCCATGAAAACAGCTTCTCGGCGTAAAACTGTAGTTCCCTTCCCTTTGTGTGACAACATACCGTTATAATCAAACTGCTAATGCAGCGCTATGTTTGTGCTTTTATAAATTGTTCTCGAAATTTCACAGCAAAACGGCAGCGAAAGCATTTGTTTGTTTCTGAATTGCTGTTGCTTTGCTTCCGATATCATACATGCCGAAGTCAAAGCACAGCAAAAGCAAATTAAATAAAAAAAATACAGCACTTTCAAACCCTGGTATGTATTTATTACTGCACTTAAAAAAAAAAATTCCTTAATCAGTGTAAACTTGGCTACACTTTCTCACACAGTGGCGTCAGTTGCTTTTGGATTTGCGTTTTATGTTCACCTTTTAACCTCAATTACCTCAACGAAGATGAGTGTGTATAAAATTCTTCTTGGCGATTTTATGGCGAACTAATTGCGGAAAAGCACAAGTACTAAATGAAAAAATACTACAAGTTAATTTGTTTTTAAAAAGTTGAACTTAAATAAATGCTAACAATGCACGTTTCCGAGATTCAGCGATTAGATCACTCAATTAAGTTCATTAAATAGAGTGGCTCATACAAACATAGTATGTACACACTTGTTTCGAGAAGCTTAAGTCAGCGTCCACTCTATATTATTTTCAAATTTTAAAAAGCATTCATGGTCAATTTATAGCTGATTTTTATATATTTGCTTGAGCCTAATTTATTAACTTGGGACGCTTTATATTTAGATGATTTTACTACATTATTAACATTAATGAATATAATAAACATCAAAAATATACATAAAACCATACTCAAAGCTCATTTTGGATATTTTTTTTGCGTTTGCTTTGTTAGTAATATATGGGCACAAAATTGTGCCCCAAAAATGATACAAATTGATTTTCATATACATATCTCAGAAAAAACTAACTACTTCGTGTGGTTGATATACTCTACTTCTGAGTTTTATTGAGAAAAAAATCACACGCATCAAGAAAAAAAACACGAAAGCTTTAAAACCTACGCTACATACTTGTACGAAATTTTAAGCTTGTTCCTACACCTTTTTCATGTTAAACACTTGAGAAGAAAGTAGAGTGTTAACGATGACTTCGAAAGTCAAAAAGCCAATCTAACAAACAACATGGGTACTCATAAAAACTAAACAACCATGTCGCGCATCCGCACAAGTGTCATCATCAGCACAAAGTCATTTAATCATACGAATACTTTTGAATTTGGTAAATGAAACACCCAAACAAATCATAAAAAATGTGAATATGTATATGAAAATTAAATAAAACATTTAACAAACAAACAAAGAAAACACGCAAACACACTTGTATACATTCATAGTTATGTATGTACTCATATACAGTGGTGGCTACAATCAGCGCACGCAGATTGGGAAATATAAGTTGAAATTTGGATGTCTCACCTATTTAGAGAAGGGCGCTATCAGACCCATGGCAGTAATTATAAAATAGCCGGGATGGGCGGTATCGGGATGGTTTTTAAAAATCCGCAACTTCCAAAGTTCTGAAAGTCTTCGGAAAAAAAGCTATATAAAATAAGCTTTTTATATATATATCTTTGGTGCATCTTAGCACCAGCTGGGAAAAAGAAGCTAAAGAGGTTGGTCTAGCGGTGAATGGGAACAAGGCAAAGTAACTCCTGGCAACACACAAAGAGTCCACACGTTTTGGAACACTCGTCACCGTTGGTAGCTATAACTTTGAAGTAGTGAAGGAGTTTATCTACCTAGGATCCAGCATAATCACCGGCAAAAATGTCAGTATGGCATAAAGCGAAGCATAACTCTTGCCTGCAGGTGCTACTTTGGGCTCAGTAGGAAATTGAAAAGCAGAGACCTCTCTCGACGAACTAAAATCACGCTCTACGAATTTCTCATCATGCCCGTCCTTTTGTATGGCGAAGAGACATGGACGAAGTTGCAAGGTGCAAGTGGAGAAGAAGTCGGGATGAGAAACTGCCGCCAATTCGCAAATGAGAGGCAATTGACGTAGTTTTCTGGTCCCGGCCCAAGCCCACAAACAGTGTAGTGTCAAATAAGATGATAATAAAGAAGGAAATACATGCTTGTAGCACCAAATGCATTAAAATGGCCACTATGCTTATGAAGTAGCCATCACTGTAAGTTTATAAAAATTTAAAATCAAAGATAAAAAAATAATAATTGAGTAGATTTAATAAAAATATACACAAATACATATAAACATGTGTACATAAGCCAATTGTTTATACACATTCAAGTAAAGATACGAAAGACAAACTGTCTGACGCAACCCAATGAAAGAAGACAAATAAAACAAACAAATACAACCAACCTTAACCAAACAGCAAAGAAACTTGATTATGAAGTTATGCGATTAATAAGATTTGGAATGCTCTCAAGCGGAATGACAGCAGAGAAAAGATTTGAATGAAGCTGAAGTGAAGCTTAAGTGACAATAAAGGCACACAATAAATTGAAATTGAAAGTTATGTATGGAGTGCTGGGAAGGGCAAACAGGATTTGGCTGGACAGTAGAAAATTAGAAAATTTAACTAGAAACAAATTTTTAAAAATTTCCAAGGAGTAACTATAAAAAACTTTAATAATTTTTAGTATTTAAATATACACACATGCATACCTACGTACTTACATAAATACTTCTCTTTATTTTAAATCTATTTTTAACTCACTACTCCAATAGATTAGTTTTACGTGGGAAGCACCTAATTTTCATTAACTTTGCAAACACTTAAATATGTATATATGTATGTGTGTATGTCCATACAAATTTTAGAATCTTATAACGAATTTGGAACCAAGTATAAATACGTAAGCCTTTACAGCTGCTTTAAATGCAAATTATAAAATAATGAGGTTCTTGTAAGATTTTTTTAATTCTCTTTTTAACGTAGACTTAAAAAAAACTAGTCTTTTCTAATTTGTGCAATTATTCATTCAATGAGTGGGTAGTGTTGATGCTGGTGACCTTTACATTAGAATCATAAAATTTAAGAAATAATATTCAGTAATTAAAAGCAATGTTTATGTACATAGTACGTTTATTCATATGTATATACCCCGTGTCATAATTATAGGAGCACCACATACATATAGGCAAGTTAAAAATTTTGTGGCGTTTTCAATTATTTACGTTGAAATTGGCGCAATTTAACTTGTTAAATAAAAAAAGAGCTTTTTGTAAAACACATTCGTCCACATTGAACATTTGCAATTAACTTTCACGTTTGCTTGATTTAAAAAAGGATAAAAACAAAAAATATTCAAAACCAA